TTGCATTAAAATAAACGAACCTAAACTAAAAAGTTATATATGCTCAGTATAAGATAACGGAACAAAAGAAATATATATATATATATATATATATATATATATATATATATATATAAACTGAATTAAAGCAAAACAAAAAATATTTTTTGTGAAAACTCTTTCCTAAACATAGAAATTTAATTGTTTTCAAAATAGCTTCTTTATCTATCTACTTAAATTCTCAACTCTTCTAATCTTGTTCATTTAATAGAACGTATTTAACGGCTGATAAGCAAGAAATTCTTCATTTTGACAAGACGAAAATTAAATGCATCTTAATGTTACATCCAACACATTGGTAATATAGGCGGGAAGTTAACCATCAAATATGTATAGCTATGGATCTTTGATGAGTTTCGTTAGCGGTTATCTAAAATATATCCTTGTAAAATACGAGTTTTATCGACCGGCAAATTTGTTTCTTTTATCCGTAATTGATTGGTTTTCATATCAAATTCTTCATTATCCAACTCCATCAAGATACAAGTCACCATTATAAATCTATCTGAAGATATATTATAATTTGGAGACAAACACACATGATAATGACAATATATCTACGAAACTGATTGATATTAGCTTTGTCTTATCAAGAAACCAGCGTTCGTTTTAGAAACCTATAGCGCCACCTACAGGCAACTTAAAGATAGATACATGAATGCATTCATATCTACAAACTGTAATTCTAATGATTGCTATAGGTACATAGGTCGAATTATATACTGACAGAGATAAGTCGATTTTCTGTATTTGGACGACTGAGATACTGAAGCAATTCATATCAATATAAAACATCTTAATAGGCACATGCATGTTATCTCACACATTTGACGGGCTATTAAGAGACATGACGGCAGGCGAAAATGAGAAGGCGGAAAATGAATCTGTCTCTGACTCCCCTGTTTGAAAGAAAAGCTTCGGAATTTATCAAAACTAAGAATGTTATTAGTTGTCTCTCGTTTTTTCTCCAACGCATTTTTTATTATTTTTCCTTTTTTTTTTTTTTTTTTTTTTTTTGCCTTCGCCGCAAGCAATTCTTGAACGAAAAAAAAATGAAGTACTTCTTCCTAAGAAACAAAATTAGGTTTTCGCAATTATCTCCCCTGGATAAAGTTTAAGTAAATTTTGAATACAGGTAGAATTTAAAAAAAAACACATTTTCAGCAAAACATCTATTTTTTTAAAGTTATTTTTTTATCATTATGTTATGTCCACTTGAATTTTCGAGCATGGGAGAAGTCCTTGGTTTGATGATTAACTACAGTTTGAGTTTTCGATTTTAAGATCCTTATATTTTGATAATTCTTTGAGATCTTCAAAGATAAATTACAGCCTGCAACGACAGCCATGTCAATAAGAAGACACATTTAGTTTCTGCGGTCTCTAATCACGATGTCTGGCCAATTAGTTTTGTTTGTTCTGTCTGTGTGTATTGTAAACTACATCTGGAAGTTGGGCCTCTGATCGGGAGATTGGAGGTTTTGAGGGTTGTGCAACGACCTCTTAATTGCTGTTGTTCCACCCTGTCCCAGGGTGGCAGCACCTGTTAGGGTCCCAGCTATGGGTAAATAGGGAACCCCCAGACAAAATCCTATGAATTTATAAAAGTAGATTTTTATAGTAAAGATACAAGCAATACATTTTTATATAAAAAAAGTGACCAACAATGCATAGTAAATTGACCAACAATACATTTTTAAAGTAAAATGATCAACAATACATTCATTCTGTAGTTGAAGACAAATTATATTAAGTTGAAGCCATAAAATTGTGTTCAAATTTAGATTTCGGTATTAAATAACCCATTATGGTTAACATGCCGCTAAACAAAATCAACCATCAAGCCACGAGAGAAGTATTATTATTATTATTTTCTTTGATTTCTGGCGTTTACACATTTCTTTCCGGGTCCCGCCCAGGGACCTAAGGTTAGAAATGGCATCATGACACTTTCCACTGACAAAAAAAAAAGAAAAAATATATATTACATAGATAAAGCCCTTCGTAAAGTGTGGGCTGTACTTGTCAGAACAATTTTTTGTATCTCCTTGAGGCATGGACTTCCAGGAATCCCTTCAATTAGTCTACTGCAATCTTTTCCAACCAGTCCTAGGCTCCGACTACAACAGGGATTGTTGATGTTCCCATATGCCACATTTTCGAAATTTCTATTTCAAGATCCTTGTATTTTGACAGCTTTTTGAATATCTTCAAAGATACATTGCAGTCAGCAGGGACTGCCATATCAATAAGGAGTCACCGTTTTTGTTTGTGGTCTTTAATAACAATATCTGGCCGGTTGGCCTTGATTGTTCTGTCAGTGTGTATTGTGTAATCCCATAGAATTGTAACAGGTCCTATCTCCGTAAACGAATCTGGGTGGTGTTCATACCAGTTTCTTTCAGTTTCCTTCCCGTAGAAGTTGCAGATTTTCCAGTGCAGATATTGGTCCACTCTGTCATGTCGGGTTTTATATTCAGTGGGTGCCAACACCGTACAACCTGATACAAGATGATCGGTCGTTTCTGGATATTTATCACAGAATCTGCATTTTGGGCTGACACAATATTTTAGTATATGTGCTTGATAATTCCTAGTTAGCATTGGTCCTGCGCAGCAAGGATAAAACCTTCAGTTTCCGCTTTCAACCCTGCACTATGTAGCCACTGATGGGTACGGGTTTCGTCTACGTCAGCTTGTTTGGTACGGGCATTATTATTATTATCATTATTATTATTATTATTATTATTATTATTTCCTTGAATTTCTGTTGTATACACATTCCCATCCGGCTGCCAACCATAGACCTAAGGTCAGAAATAGCTTCATGACATTTTCCAATGACCATTTAAAAAAAAAATAAATAAAATCACACACACGTTTAACATAGACAAAGCACTTCGTAGTATGTGAGTTGTACTTTTTTTATTTCTTTAAGGCATGGACTGCCAGAGATCACTTTAATGAGTCTATCGGAACCTTTTCCAATCAATCCGAGTGCTCCAACTACAACTGGAATTATTGATGCCCTCATGTGCCACATTTTTTAGATTTCCACTTCAAGATCCTTGTATTTTCATAGCCTTTTTTTTGTATTTTCATAGTTTTTTGAAGATTTTCAAAGATACATTATAATCTGCAAGGACTGCCATGTCAAAAAGAAAACACATTCTGTTCTTGGGGTCTTTGATTACGATGTCTGGGCGATTAGCTTGGATTGTCCCACTGTATTTTTTTCTTAAGCTTTACGCCCCGAGCAAGGCGGGAAGCTACTAGGATGCAGGGGGTTGCAGAAGATTTGGAGCGAGAGCAGATAGGAGTGATAGAAGAAAGGATGAGGAGAAGGATAGTGGGTAGATCAAGGTAACTGGAGATGTCGACTGACATTACATTTGAATAGTTGGAGATTATAGCTCTCAGGGAAACAGTAATTGGGAAGGGTGTTCCACAGGCAAGAGGTGCGAGATATGAAGCTATTGGAGTAGAAGAGACGGCTACATTTAAAAGTTTCTAGTGAAAGGGTGAGAGCGGTATGCCAGCCTCGTAGGGCGCTTCAATTCATGGAGTCTGGGAACCAGTGAAAGCAGCTCATCGGAGCAATTACCATGAAAGTATTTGTAAAAAAAAAAGACAGAGAGAGGCGACGGTGCGTCTGTGAGAGAGCAACTGTAGACGAGATGCCAGATCAGGGCCAATTATATTACATATCCGTCTCTAGATCTTGTCAAGAACTCCGAGGTCATGCCGAGTTTTATATTCAGTGGGTGCTAACAGTGTTTAAACTGATACAAGATGGTCAATTGTTTTTGTATATCTATCACACTTTTTCAATATGTCTACTTAGTAATTTATAGTAAGCAAGCATTGGTATTATTACTACTACTAGTACACAAACTTATATTTTCACTTGTAACCTAAAAGAGTGCTGAAATGTTATATAACATCTGTCTCATCACATACGGCGAAAAGATCTGAGGCAACAGAAATACAGTTCTACCGAAAGATGTTAAGAATATTACGGACTGAACACGTGAACAACAATAAAGTTTTAGAGAAAATGGTGACAAATAGGACAATTATACTTAACATCAGGAAAGACAAATGAAATTTCTATGGAACGTAATGATAAAAGATAGCGTAGAAATATTTCTTTTATCTTCCGTGTCCTTTCAGGACGTGGGCGATCATGTGTCTCCACATCTTCCTGTCCTTTGTAGCCCTTAGCAAAATTCGTCTTTATGTTATTTCTGCTAATAGCTTTAAGTTGTTATCTCGTTAAAGTAGTTTATACGTTGTTTTCCTCTGTCCATCTTGTCTCAAATGTCCTGTGAGTGTCAAATTCGCCAAACCTTTTTTCCTCATTATATGCCCAAGAAATTTTAGCTGTCTCTTTCTGACGCTAAGTATGTTCTTTTTGTTTCCATTTTCTTTTAAACTTCGTAATTGCTCACATTCTCAGTATCCTTCTGTAGAACTGCATTTCTATTACCTCAAGTATCTTTATCTATGAGGAGATTGTCCAGCATTCACTGCCATATATGAGGACCGATATTATATAAGAATTTAGTAGCATACTTTCAGTATAAACCCCAGGTTGGTTTTGTGGGTTTTAAAAAAATACAAATGAGACTGTGCAGGCGTCTGTAAAAAGGATTAGCTAGGCACCACAGAAGACAGACATACTCAGAAAGATTGAATGATTTATTTTTTATGGGTTATCAACCCTTTTCATGACGTTTAAAGTCTGAAAATATTTTAGATTGTTTTTTGTTTTTTGAGATATTAAGGGTTTAGTGATACAAGTCTTACTAATTAACCCATAGCTGGGGGAGAAGAGGTGGATTTATACCTTTCCTAAGGATATTTTCGCGTGAGTGACTATAACGAAGCTGATTGGAATTAGAACTCGACTCTCTGATTAACAATTAACATTATCCATCACACCACCCGCACATCTAAACTTACAGCACCTGATATCCCCAAGTGGTCACCTATATAGATACTGACCAAGCTTTACATTGCTTAACTTCGGTGATCGTACGGGAACCGGGGTTTCAACGTGATATGGCTGTAAGCTATACCACCCACACATCTAAGCTTACAGCACTTGATATTCGCAAGCGATCACGAATCTAGATAATGACCAAGCTCGGCGTTGCTTAACTTAGTTGATCGTACGGGAACCGGTAATTCAACGCGATATGGCCGTAAGCCTTTTTATCCAAAAAGGAGCACGACTTCCGCATTATACTCATAACGTGTCCGCCTGAACTTTTGAAACTTTATTCACTAATCAAATCTTGACCTCTTCATGTCTAAAATCAGCCATCTTTCCTGTATAGCCCTAAAAAATCCACAGGGTTCTAGGATATTTGCGTACATTTGTTTGTTTTTATTTTGTTATTTTCATTTCATTTAGTTTTAGTTTTTATTTTTATTTTATTTTTATTTATTAATTTTAGTTTTTATTTTTGTTTTTATTTTTATTTTCATTTTATTTAGTCTTAATTTTTATTTTTATTTTATTTATCAATTTTAGTTTTGATTTTTGATTTTTTTTTCATTTTATTTAGTTTTAGTTTTTATTTTATTTTATTTTTTATTTTCATTTTATTCAGTTTTAATTTTTATTTTTACTTTATTTTTATTTATTAATATTATCTCTTATTTCTGTTTTATTTTTATTTTTCATTTTATTCAGTTTAAGTTTTTTTGTTTTTATTTTTATTTTATTTTTATTTTTATTTATTAATTGTAGTTTTTATTTTTGTTTATTATTATTATTATTATTATTATTATTATTATTACTTCTGTTGTGTTTTGCGTTTGCTTTTTTGTAATAAGTGTTATTTTGATACACCCCCCCCACCACCACCACTGTCTCAAGATGCAAACAGACAAGGTGACATGCAATCAGGGAAAGAGAAAAATGATGTTATTATTATTATTTCATTTCCTTTGATTTCTGGTGTGTACTTTCCGGGTCCCGACCAGAGACCTAAGCTCAGAAATGGCATCATGACATTTTCCACAGAGCAATTATAAAAAAAAAAGAAAAGAAATATATATTTTTCATAGATAAAGCCCTTCATAAGGTGTGGGCTATACGCGTAGGAACATTTTTTTGTATTTCTTTAAGGCATGGACTACCAGGAATCACTTCAATGAGTCTATTGGAATCTTTTCCAATCAATCGGAGGGCTCCAACTACAACGGGAATTGTCGATGTCCTCATGCGCCACGTTTTTGAGGTTTCGATTTCAAGGTCTTTGTATTTTGATAGTTTTTGAAGCTCTTCAGAAATACATTAGAATCTGCAGGGACTGCCATATCAATAAGGAGGCACTTTTTTTTTTTGTTTGCTGTCTATAATAACGATATCTGAGTGATTAGCTTTGATTGTTTTGTCTGTGTGTATTGTCCCATAAAATTGTTACAGATCCTTTCTCCATAACCGGATCTGAGTGGTGTTCATACCAACTATTATTATTATTATTATCATTTTCTTTGATTTCTGGCGTTTACACATTTCTTTCCGGGTCCCGCCCAGGGACCTAAGGTTAGAAATGGCGTCATGACACTATCCACTGACAAAAAAAAAAAAAAAAAAAATTAAATTACATAGATAAAGCCCTTCGTAAAGTGTTGGCTGTACTTGTCAGAACAATTTTTTGTATCTCCTTGAGGCATGGATTTCCAGGAATCTCTTCAATTAGTCTACTGGAATCTATTCCAACCAGTCCTAGGGCTCCAACTACAACAGGGATTGTTGATGTTCCCATATGCCACATTTTCGAGATTTCTATTTCAAGGTTATTATTATTATTATTTACTTTGATTTTTGGTGTATAGTCATTTCTTTCCGGGTCCCAACCAGAGACCTAATAGTCAAATTGGCATCATGACATTTTCCACTGAACATTTTTAAGGGAAAAAAATAAAAAAAAATAAGACCACACACACATTGTACATAGATAAAGCGCTTCGTAATATGTTGGCTGCACTTTTGTATTTCTTTAAGGTATGGGCCACCAGGAATCACTTCAGTGAGTCTATCAGAACATTTTCCAATCAATCCGAGAACTCCAACTACAACTGGAATTACTGATGTCTTCATGTGCCACATTTTGTTTTTTAGATTTCCACTTCAAGATCCTTATATTTTTGGAAGGTCTTCAAAGATACATAGCAGTCTGTCATGTCAATATGACATTATTATATTTTATTTCCTTTGATTTCTGGTGTATACTCATTTCTTTCTGGGTGCCGACCAGAGGCTTAGGGTTAGACATGACATCATAACATTTTCCACTGAACAGTTTTGAAAAAAAAAAAACACATATTTTACATAGATAAAGCCCTTCGTAAGGTGTGGGCTGTATATGTGGGAACAATTGTTTTGTATTTCTTTAATGCATGGAGTTCCAGGAATCCCTTCAATAAGTCTATCGGAAACTTTTCCAATAAATCCGAGTGCTTCAACTACAACTGGAATTACTGATGTCCTCATGTTCCACATTTTTGAGTTTTCGATTTTAAGAGCCTTATATTTTGATAATTTTACAGCCTGCAGTGACAGCCATGTCAATAAGAAGACACATTTAGTTTTTGCGGTCTCTAATCACGATGTCTGGCCAATTAGTTTTGCTTGTTCTGTCTGTGTGTATTGTAAAGTCTCATAAAATTGTCACAGGTCCTATCTTTGGCACAGGATCTGGGTGGTGTTCATACCAATTTCTTGCAGTTTCCTTTACGTAAAAATTGCAGATTTTCCAATGCAAATATTGGCCCACTATATCAAGCCAGATTTTATATTTAGTGGGTGCACATTACTGTGTAACCTGCTACAAGATGATCAATTGTCTCTGGATATTTATCACAGAATCTGCATTTTGGGCTAACATAATTTTTCAGTCTGTGTGCTTGGGAATTTCTAATTAGCAGACATTGGTCCTGTGCAGCAAGGATAAAACCCTCGAATTAATTTTTTAACCCTACACTACATAGGCACTGATGGGTGCTTGCTCCTTCAGACTACCATTTGTTTCGTAGCTTACAGAATCATTTGGAAGAAACAGCTTTTGTAACATAGGAAGAGGTTAAAACTGACATTTGTGAGTTCTTCGAATCAAAGCCCAAAGAATTTTACAGTAATGGAATTAGATGGAAGGAAGTCATAGATAATCAGGGAAAATACATTGTTGATTGAATCTGTAATTAAATGTAACATTTAGTAACTTGTTTTCTTTATTCAAAATTCGGACAGAACTTATGGGATGACCTGATACATCAGCTTGTTTCGTACAGGCAGAGTATTGACCGTGAAGAGATTTATCTTGCCATCGTTTCTCTATCTGCTTCATTGCATTTGCTTTCTTTTTTTAAGGTTTTTCATGCTACGGTAGGCGTATTATGTTTTACTTGCATTTCTTCAACCATTCGAAACTCCGTTTTGAACTTGATAGCTTCCTTTATTACTTGTGGGTATGTCTCGAACTGACATTTAATTGGTTAATCGAGACATACATACAAGTATATTTTTAATTCTGAACTTATGCCCCCCTCCCATTTAAATTTCGGAAAAGAGGTAACTTTTTTTTTTTAAATTCCTCTAAAAAATCATTTTTCTCACCAGTTACCAACAATCACCTGAGGAAGTACAATAATAACATTGAAACATGAAAGATTTTGTGTAATAATCTAAAATGTTTTTATTATAATCTCTTATAATAAGAATATAATAAGAATATTTTGCTCTACTTTGTATTGAACACTTTTTAAAAATACTACGAACTGTAGATTTTTACTCCATCTGTTCTTGCTCTCATTTCGATATATATATATATATATATATATATATATATATATATATATATATATATGTGTGTGTGTGTGTGTGTGTGTGTGTGTGTGTGTGTGTGTGTGTGTGTGTGTGTGGATAAAGACAAAAGGAAAACTTAATCGACGGGTTTCGCCCTCTGATAATTTAATTTAAAGAAATTTGTGTGTTTAAGGATTTTAAAATAATTTATGTTTAATGGTTTAAAGTAATTTTTGTGTTTAATAGTTTTAAAATAACTTATGTTTAATCGGTTAAAGTAATTTGTTAGTTTAATGTTTAAAGTAATCAGTGTGTTTAATAGTTTTGAAATAATTTGTGCGTAAAGTGGTTTTAATTTATGTTTAATGGGTTAAAGTAATATCTGTTTAATGGTTTTAAAATAATTTATGTGTTTAATGGTTTTAAAATAAAGGATGTTTAATGTTTTAAAATGATTTGTGTCTTTAATAGTTTTAAAATAACTTATTTTCAATGGTTTAAAGTAATTTGTGTTTCTAATGATTTTAAAATAATTCGTGCTTAATGGTTTTAAAATGATGTTTAATGGGTTAAAGTATTTTGTATGTTTAATTTTTTAATGTAATTTGTGTGTTTAATGGTTTTAAAATAATTTGTTTCATGGTTTAAAGTAATTTGTGTGTTTACTGATTTTAAAATAATTTGTGTGTTTAATGGTTTTAAAATAATATTTAATGGCTAAAGTAATTTGTATATTTAATGGATTTGAAATAATTTATATTTAATTCCTTAAAGTAATTTATGTGTTTAAAATGATTTATGTTTAATGAGTTAAAGTAATTTGTGAGTTTAATTGTTTTAAAATAATTTGTGTGTTTAATGGTTTTAAAATAATTTATGTTTAATGTTTTAAAATAATTCGTGTGTTTAATATTTTAAAATAACTTATGTTCAATGGTTTAAAGTAATTTGTGTGTTTAATGATATTAAAATAATTTGTGTGTTTAATGGTTTTAAAATAATTTATATTTAATAGCTTAAAGTAATTTGTGTGCTTAAAAGTTTTAAAATAATTTGTTTAATGGGTTAAAATAATTTGTGAGTTTAATGGTTTTAGAATAATTTATATTTAATGCTTTAAAATAATTTGTGCGTTTTAATACATTTAAAATAGCTTAGTTCAATGGTTTAAAGTAATTTATGTGTTTAATGATTTTAAAATAATTTGTGTGTTTAATGGTCTTAAAATAATGTTTAATGCCTAAAGTCATTTGTATGTTTAATTGTTTAAAGTAATTTGTGTGTTCAATGGATTTGAAATAATTTATATTTAATTCCTTAAAGTAATTTATGTGTTTAAAATGATTTATGTTTAATGAGTTAAAGTAATTTGTGAGTTTAATTGTTTCAAAATAATTTGTGTGTTTAATGGTTCTAAAATAATTTATGTTTAATGTTTTAAAATAATTTGTGTGTTTAATAGTTTTAAAATAACTTATGTTCAATGATTTAAAGTAATTTGTGTGTTTAATGATTTTAAAATAATTTATGTGTTCAATGGTTTTAAAATAATTTATATTTAATAGCTTAAAGTAATTTGTGTGTTTAAAAGTTTAAAAATAATTTGTTTAATGGTTAAAGTAATTTGTGAGTTTAATAGTTTTAAAATAATTTGTGTTTAATGGTTTTAAAATAATTTATGTTTAAAGTAATCTGCGTGTCATTCAAATGTCTATTATCTTCATTGAATTACTTTTTTTTACTTAACCTCTGCTGTTATTGCATAATTGCAATTATCGATTTAATTTAAAATCTTAATTAAATGTCCAGCCTTACTCACACCAGACACAGACAATGATATTTTCGGTTATTAAATAATCTAATCTTTTTTATGAAACGCTTTCGAAAAGAATCCATTATTAGGTTTCCTTGTTTACCAATGCCAATTATTGCTCTGGCAAAAGCAGCTAAATAAGTCATTAACATTTCTTTTCGCCACTAACTTTTCAACGATAATAGCCAAATATCTTGATTCTGGAAAACGGTAAAATTATTCCAAGATAAATCTTTAGATACTTCACAGACAGACCGACGGAGACCGCCACTCAATTTTCGCTTCTCGCCTGCCAAGCGCCCATTTAATCTGATGATAACTTTCGGAAGAGGTTTTAGTCAGGCGGAATTGTATTAACGACCGCTTTCTGTTGAAATCAGTTCAATCTTCCGCTTTGGTAGACTGATGAAAATTCAAGACTCATATCCCATATCTCAGAAAAGATTTAAATTTAGGGGCAAATCATGGCGTAATTCTGGTCTTATTTTGTTAGTCTTTCATTCTGTCACAGTCATTCGAAAACCTTACGCATAGATGTGCCAATTATGCCATTTAATCGGGGTTAACATCTCCCGAGGATTGACCAGGCCCAGCTTTGGTCATCTCACAAAGTTTTAGATTCACTCGACTGTCCAATGGAAAGCTTATCTTATCTCTCTGGCATAAGTAAAGCCACTGAGACCGATTATCGTATGAGAGAAATCCTCTAACGTTCTCTCATCCAATCATTTATGAACGCACAATGAAGACAAGGCAGAAGCAAATGGCTTCTCCGTTACCTTCAAGTTTATGGAATACCGTAAGTGAAATAAAAATATGATTGAGATGTCTCTCTCTCTCTCTCTCTCTCTCTCTCTCTCTCTCTCTCTCTCTCTCTCTCTCTCTCTCTCTTTGTCTTTCTCGCTATTTCTCACTCTTTGTCTCTCTCTTTCTTTCTCGTTCTCTTTCTTAGTTTCTCTCTCTCTCTCTCTCTCTCTTTCTTGCGCTTTCTCACTCTTTGTCTCTTTCTTTCTTGCTCTGTGTGTGTGTGACCTTTTATGATGCAGTTAGTTTGAACATCTTTATTTTACTCCGACATTGTACACGTCTCTCTCTCTCTCTCTTTTCTCGCTCTCTCTTTTCTCTCTCTCTCTCTTCTCTCTCTCTTTCTCGTTCTCTTTCTCCTTTTGTCTTTCTCTCCCCTCTCTCTCTCTCTCTGTGACCTTCTGTGATGCAGTTTTGCTGTATGTTTACTCTAACATTATGTACGTCTCTCTCTCTCTCTCTTTCCCTTTCTCTCTCTCTCTCTCTCTTTCCTTTTCTTCTTCTATCCCTCTTTCTCTCTCTTCCTTTCACTCTATTTCTCTCTCCTTCCTCTGTGTGTGTGTATGTGTGTTAGTTTGGGTGTATCTTTATTTTACTCTGACATTATGCACATCTCTCTATTTCTTTATTTCTTTCTCTCCCACTCATTCTCTCAATCTCTCACTTTCTCTATATCTTTCCCCCTTCTCTCTCTCTCTCTCTCTCTCTCTCTCTCTCTCTCTCTCTCTCTGTAACCTTTTATAATACAGTTAATTTGAGTATATTTTTATTTTACTCCGACATTGCGCACGTCTCTTTCTTTCTTTCTTTCTTCCTTTTTTCTTTATTTCTTTCTTTCTTTTTTTCTTTTCTTTTCATCTTTCTATTCTCTCTCTCTCTCTCTATCTATCTATCTATCTCTCTCTCTCTCTCCCTCTCCCTGTGATCTTTTATGAAGCAGTTAGTTTGGGTTTATTTTTATTTTACTCTGACATTGTGTACCTCTCTCTCTCTCTCTCTCTCGCTCTCTCTCTCTCTCTCTCTCTCTCTCTCTCTCTCTCTCTCTTTCAAGCAACCTTCCTGAGCCCGAAAAAGTGTATTCTTAATTTCAACATTCTGAAAAGGCTACAGAAATTAATAATTCTTATAAAAACTACAGAAAATATGTGCCATGTCCTTTCAGGACGTAGGCGATCATGGCTCTCCACCTCCCTCTATCCCTTGCAGCTCTCGGCTATGAAACATAGGTACACGTCCTTCTGCATCTGTATCACTCTTTCTGATAGCATTCTGAGCATGAATATTGCCTTCCTTGTTCCAGTGTCTTAAACGAACCCGCACTGTTCTTGTCCTATCTCTGGCCTGATTCTGTTGCGCGCTCTATTCATCAGAATACGGATGATGAGTTTTGTTATGTGGCTTATTGTTCAGTGGAGTTCGCATTCGTTTGCGCCTAGTTCTTTATGGCATGGCTATGAAAATAGATCTGCTGAGATCTTCCGGTATATCCCCTCTGTTGTAGATTTAATTTGTTATTTCGGTGATCTTGTCAATGCTAAAGTCATCTGAAGTTGTCAGCATTTCCGTTACAATTCCGTCTGGCCCAGCTGCCTTACATTACCGTAAAGTTGCAATATCGAAAAGCAAATGAACCAACAAAAGATGAACCATCTTGACTAGTTTACCGTTCCTCTCTCTCATCAGAGATCAATCAAAGAAAATAATGTGTAGAGTAACTAAAATCAACAACACTATCTTTTCCCACTTTGGTTTTCATTTTCCTAACGTTGGTTTATGCACTAACACTGAATAACCAACTCTGATTTAAATAACAATTTATATATATATATATATATATATATATATATATATATATATATATATATATTTCTCTCCCGAACAACAGGGTGCGGCAGAAATACCTCCCACATTTTCAACTGCCACCTGCACGATGATAATAAACTTAGACAAGTGGCAATGATGTTTTCATCTACCTAATGTCTTACCATTTTTTACAGAGTCCATCACTTATCATCACTGCTCAGACCGGCCAACACACTGCCCGTTTGTTTTAGAAAGGCTTTATTTCAAGACTGATGAATCTGTAATTGCAACACAGAGATTTTTTTTCTGCTCATGTCGGTATGATGCAGTTCCGGATAAAAAAAAAAATCGATACTGCTATGGGTTGAAAATTTCAGGGCCACAGGTTCAACGATTAAAAGAAAGTTGTCCCCTGGGAGAACTCGAAGCGCTCCAACTTCCGGGTAATGGAAAATTTTAGAAATCTTCTGCAACAGTGTTTGGCGAATAGAGGCCGCCATTTTTTAAGGATGTCACATTTTAAAAGAAAATGAATAAAAACTGTAGCCATTTCTTCAAAAAAACAGTCAAATAATTATTTTAATGGCAGTTACCTTGTCCTTTTCGTCAATTTTTAAAATATGTGGGGTATTTCTGTCGCACCTTGTATATCAACTAAAAAGGTGTTTTTCACCTGTCAAATGTATTCAGATTTTAATTTTTTAATTTCATGTTGTCCTATTCTTATTTTAGTTTATAGTATTACGGTTAAAAAGTATTAAACATGAAAATTGCGTTAGAAACAAAAGAAAGAGTATTGAACTGTTATGTAATATAGGTCCTCCTATATGGCAATGGACAATCGCCTCACAGAAGAAGGGACTTGAAGCAACAGAAATGTGGTTCTACAGAAGGATGCTGAGAATATAATGGGACGATGACGTTTTAGGGAAAATGGAAACAAAAAGGACACTTCTACTTAACATCAAGAAGAAACAGTTGTAATTTCTATGACACGTAATGAGGAAAGAAACTTAGAAAATTTGATACTCACGACAGATTGAAGGCAAAGACGGACAGAGAAAAGCAACGTATAGTATAGCAAACGAGCTTGTGTAAATGGTTGGCAGAACAGGGATGAGGAGAGATAGCGAAAAGACCAAATTTACTAAGGGCTACAAAGGACAGGAAATTGTGGAGAGCCATGATCGCCCATATCCTGAAGAGATACAGCATATAGAAGAAGAAGAAGAAGAAGAACTTTGTACATTACTTTTTTTAATAATTTACATACAGGCAACTAGCAAATCCCTGTTACAGACGCCAGCTAAGGCACAATTGCGTTTGTTCAACATTAATAGAATCAACCATTCAGCCAGGTTTATACTGAATCTAAGCTGAGCGTGTCTTAGTGACAGTTTCTGGGAGAGAGTGTATCATCTAGTGTGATCAATAGTTTAAAGAAGGCCAGCCTGCTCAAAACCCCAAAACAATGAATTGCACAACCATTGACGAAAAATTCTTTAAACAAACTTAAATACAATTTTTGTAAGCTGATTTTTTTTCGTTTTGTTTGTTCGTTTATTATTTTTTTATTTTATTTTTTTGTTTACGTTTTTTTTTTTTTGTTTTGTTTTTTTTTTCAAGGGAGAAAAATTTTTTTTGTCTTTTAGATACATCCTTACTTTCGGACAGGGAACCATTTTAACACTGGCTTCAGATATCGTTTATGCTTAAATGCGACAGTCCAACCTAGTTAACGGACCATCATGGCCGAATGCACCACCTGGCCTCTAAGGACCACTAATCTTACAGTTATTGACCATTATAGACGGCCAAAAGCGATAGGCAGCTCTCTCCGCCTGATTTGAAGACCAAAGGCGAAAACCGCTTCATCTTCGCTCCCTACCACCGCCATAAGCGCGCATGCGCGTATACACTCATTTAAGAGCCTTTCTTTCCCCCTGAAACCTCTGAGGGGTTTATGCACAAACACTGAATAACCAACTCTGATTTACTTGAGATCTGTCTACAATGATGGCTGCTTGGAAAAATACTGTTTATTCTTGGCTTTCATTTCTCGTTTGTCTGTTGTTATTTTTTTGTTTTTTTCTATTTTATTGACATTATTATATCAACTGCTTTTCTTTTCCTTTCCTTTTCGTTTATTTTTCATGAACTCTTTATATATTTAGATATCGGAGTAAAAATAAACAATTAACGATAATTCAAAAGAAACTGCTAAAATGACTAATGAAAATAATTATTCATAATTTAACCCGATTCCTGATTTTATTCCGGAACACTTAAAATCTTTCCTTCTTCCTTTTTCTCAAATACACGACATATTGGGTGCTTAACGTATTTCGCTGCTTATAAGACGCTCCGATGCATTAGACACCCCCAAAAAAAATTTGAAGGAAAAAATTGGAAAACATTGTTTTTGCCTTGTACATCATAGCGCTCCCCATTAGCCCCAATTTCATCCACTGAAAAGCATATTTCAAATTGAAAACCCGACTAATCATGACAAAATTTATCACAGACCACCAACCTTTATAGTAACTATTTAGAATGTAATAGAACTCTATATTGTGAGAATCTCAGAGCTCACATTGAATGCGTTGTTGTCAGTGACGATAAACAAAAATGGCCGTTTAACTCTAGTGATATGTTGATTAACTAATTAACATATCCGGAATACCCAGGTTATATAATGACTCCAATTTCGAGAAGGAGGAGGAGAAGGGACTACACCTGAGCATTGAATAGTAACACGAAGGACTTAGAACTTTACAACAGTAACTAGTTAGAATGTAATAGTTAAAAGAGAAGTTAACTCCTGTTACTGACCTTTAATTTATAGGAAGCAGGGTGGTTTTAGTCCGAATTCACATTATTCCCTCTCCGAGACTTGTTACCAAGTAAGGTCATAAGGTTCAGTCACTCCTGTTATTTACCCATAGGTGGAGGTTGGGGAAGATATGGATTCATACCTTTCCCAAGGGTATAAGCACGTAATTGAATGCAATGAACTCGATTGGAGTTCGAACTCAGTTCCAAACAAATAAAAATAAACCTAAGTAGAAAAATTCAATTAGACACAAAGAATTTTTTTTATTGAACTGTGCCAATCACTGTATGTAAATTTAAATTTTACAAATGTTACATGAAAGACAAATGCCATATTTCGCTGTTTATAAGACGTTTGGATGAATTAGACGCCCCCACAAAAATATTTTGAAAGAAAAAATCCGTAAAAAAGTTTTTTTCTTGTAAATCATAGCTTTCCACACTATCCCCAATTTCACCCACTGAATAGCATATTTCAGCCTAAAAACCTGACTAATCATGACAAATTCATTACAGATAAAAAAAAAGTACCAACCTTTCTAGTAACTATTTAGAATGTAATAGAACTCTATGTAGTGAGAATCTTGAAGCACACATAGAATGCGTCGTTGTCAGTGACGATAAACAAAAATGGCCGTCTCAGCTTTTGGCGGGCTAGTGTATTTGCGCGGCAACATTTGACAACGTTAAGTGCCGTAATTAGGGTGATTTAACCAAGCGAAAATACTATGTAGTAGTCTTAATTCTTAAAGTGTCTATCATAAAAGATTCTGTTTGGGCACCTCGACGTGGTTTAATGATTAGCAAGGTTGTCTCGCTAGGTCAATTACAACTGAGTAATGAGTTTGATCCTCACTGGGTGTCTCATACTTTCGGCCTTGTGCTACATCTAAACTACGCTTAGAAAATGACCATTATAAAATGCTGCTTTGTGATCAGCAGAAATCTAAATTCCTGTCAATATCCCAGTATCCCAACAGCATAAATAGTCTCTCTCAAAACACTGGACTTGTTTTACCTTCAAGGGCTCCGAACTGGATGTAATTGGGGAGATAGCTCTAAACTCCCGTCACAGACTTTCGATTTATACGACGCAGTGTGGTTTTTGGAGATATTTTATAGGAAGAAAATATGTGTCGTATAAGCAGCTAACAAAAGCGTACTATACACAAGTATTATTCTTAAAAGTGTCTATCATAAATAATGCTGCTTTATGATCAATAGTTTAAGAAATAAGGAAGGTGTTAGTTCATCAGGTGTTAATGTGGCGGGCTAGTGTATTTGCGCGGCAGCATTTGACAATGTTAAGTGCCGTAAGTAGAATGAGTTAAGCAAGCGAAAAATACCCAGCTAATGGGCTAACGAAAGCGCATTATATAGTAGTCTTGAAAAAAGAAGATTTAAGTTCAATCCTCACTGGGTGTTTCATACTTTCGGGCTTGTGCCACATCTAAGCGACTCTCAGAAAATCGCCATAAATGATACTGCTTTGTGACCAGTAGTTTCAAAAATAGGGAAAGAAATGAAGGTGTTAGTTCATCAGGTATTACTGTAGCAGGAATTTAAATTCCTGCCAATATCCTAGTATTCCAACTGCATAAATAGCTTATCTCTAAACACTGGACTTGTTCTACTTTCAAGGGACCAGTATCGGATGTAATTGGGGAAGTGGCCCCAAACTTATAACTTGCATCACCGACCTTAGATTTATGAAATGCAGTGAGGTTTTTGGAGATATTTTATAGAAAAAAAGATGTCTTATAAGCAGCTAACGAAAGCGTGCTATACAGAAGGATTATTCTGAAGATGTCTACCATAAATGATGCTGCTTTGTGGCCAGTAACATAAGAAATAAGGAATGAAGGTGTTAGTTTACCAGGTGTTACTGTAGCAGAAATTTCGTTTCCTGTCAATATCCCAGAATTCCAATTACATAAATAGCTTCTCTAAAAACACTGGACTTATTTTATTTTCAAGGGCTCAGAATCGGATGTAACTGGGGAGCTGACGCTCGTGCACCCTCCTCCCAAAACTTATAACTCTTGTCACTGACATTCGATTTATAGGACGCATGGCGGTTTTAGGAGGTATTATATAAGCGAAAAATATGCGTCTTATAAGCAGAAATATAGGATCTATACTAAAAGAAATATAATATAGGATATATACTAAAACTAATATGGAGCTTGAAAAAAAAGATCACATAATACAATGTTTAATTTTAAACATTTCGCTTACGCGATTGTGTTATATTGAAAAATCGTTAACATTAAACGTTTTATTCAGGTGTTTTAAAGCTTTTAAAATTAAACATTTTGTTCACACGTTTTGAAGCTTTTAAATTAAACGTTTTAATATCAAATGTTTCGTTTACACGATTGTACAAAATGGAAAAAATGTTGTTTAAATATTAAAACTTTTGTTCACACGTTTCAAATTTATCAATGTTAAATGTATTAATATCGAAATTTTTCTCCATTCGATTGTGAAAAACTGGAAAAATGTCTTGTTGCTATATTTAAAAAATTTTAATATTAAACGTTTTAACATTAAATGTTATATTATTAAATATATTAATTTTAAACCTTTTTATATTAAACCTTTTTTTAATTAAATCATTTTATATTAAAATTTTTTATATTAAATTTTTTTATATAAAACCTTTTCATAATAACTTTTTTGTATTGAACGTTTTTATATTAAAACTTTTTATGTTAAACCTTCTTATATCAAATCTTTTTATATTAAACCATTTTATATTAAACCTTTTTATATTAAATACTATTATATTAAACCTTTTTAAATTAAAACATTTTATATTAAACCTTTTTATATTAAAGCAATTTATATTAAACCTTTTTATATTAAACCTTTTTATATTAAACCTTTTTATAATACACCGTTTTATATTAAACCAATTTATATTAAACCAATTTATATTAAACCTTTTTATATTAAACCATTTTATATTAAACCTTTTTATATTAAACCATTTTATATTAAACCTTTTTATATTAAACCTTTTTATAATAAACCTTTTTATATTAAACCACTTCATATTAAACCTTTTTATATTAAACCTTTTCATATTAAACCTTTTTGTATTAAACCTTTTTGTATTAAACCTTTTATATTAAATATTTTTATAATAAACCGTTTTATATTAAACCAATTTATATTAAACATTTTTATATTGGACCTTTTCATATTAAAACTTTTTATAATTAATCGTTTTATATTAAACCTTTTTATAATTAACCGTTTTATATGAAACCTTTTTATTTTAAACCTTTTTATATTAAATCTTTTTATAATACACCGTTTTAAATTAAACCTTTTTATTTTAAACCTTTTTTATTAAACCATTTTATAATAATCCGTTTTATATTAAACCAATTTATATTAATCATTTTTATATTTAACCTTTTTATAATAAACCTTTTTATATTAAACCTTTTTATATTAAACCTTTTTATAATAAACCTTTTCATATTAAACCTTTTTGTACTAAACCTTTTATATTAAACATTTTTATAATAAACCAATTTATATTAAGCCTTTTTTATATTAGACCATTTATATTAAACCTTTTGATATTGGACCTTTTCATATTAAACCTTTTTATAATAAACCGTTTTATATTAAACCTTCTTATTTTAAACCTTTTTTATATTAAACCAATTTATATTAAACCATTTTATATTAAACCTTTTTATATTAAATACTATTATATTAAACCTTTTTAAATTAAAACATTTTATATTAAACCTTTTTATATTAAAGCAATTTATATTAAACCTTTTTATATTAAACCTTTTTATATTAAACCTTTTTATAATAATCCGTTTTATATTAAACCAATTTATATTAAACCTTTTATATTAAACCTTTTCATATTAAACCTTTTTGTATTAAACCTTTTATATTAAATATTTTTATAATTAACCGTTTTATATTAAACCTTCTTATTTTAAACCTTTTTTATATTAAACCAATTTATATTAAACCATTTCATATT